TCAAACAGGATGTGGGACAAGGGCAATTTTTGCAGTATCGATTGTTGTAGCTGATAGAATAATACTTGTATCACCACTGGTTAGTTACACAGTCTATATCCAGATCAGAGTGAAACACAAATGAGTGCAAGGTGCGTGTTACGAAACTTCAAAGGGGTGAAGCATGAACATCAAGTCAGATAGTGCTGAAGAAAAGTACACTGGTCTCACCAAGACAGCTCCACTATAGCATCGTGTCTCATTTACATAACCGCGATGGACACGTGCCACTGATTACCTTGGTGAATCTTTCTGTTTGGATCTGCATTGAAAAGCAGTTATTCTACGTACTAGCGTACAGAGTAAACAGTACAATAGCGTTGGAATCCCGGTTAACAATGTCGGACGAAATTTAGTGCGCACAGGGTGACACATACGTGAAACAAGTTCGTTTACAAGAGGAAAGACTGCTCAACTAATCGAGATCACTCATTCGATGTTTACTAGAAGTAACGTTTGCCGATAGCATGACTGTCCATTATCAATCGTATTCGACGCGGTAGCCGCATAAGATAAGGAAACAAAACAAGACGAGGGTTTCTGATTTTTTCAGTTCAATATTCAGCTGAAAACCCCAGCTGGGTTCACGGACATACAGACTGCTAAGGTGCACCGTTAAACTGAACCCCACTCGAAGATCGTTTACAAAGCACGCGGTTCGGACAAGCAGAAGGGCAAATCTGATACGTACAACTTTTTGACCGGTTATGCACACATTATCAAAGCAGCAGGAGTAGCAGCAGTACATGCATGGATGTATACATACATCGAAGCGAGCTAAGATACAGCATTTCGATAAGCAACATTGACCATCACGGATGTTCACGTGACTGTTTCATATTAGCTCGGGTAACGGTTGTCATGGCATCGTCTTCGTGGACCATGACAACCAAACATATTTGCATTGGTCTAAAGCCCAGACCTCGATAAATTTAAATTGTACCGAGAACAGCGTGAAAATATCAAAACGTATAACACATATCTAACAATGTAGCACGAATACAGCGAAATCACACTGAGATAAGTAACCCATAGATGAGATTGCCACGGCAGAAAATTAGTTCCAGAATGAAGAACTACAGGTTGAATCAACGGGATTCGGAGATTCATGAGAATAATTTTGTTGTCTCTACACCGGAGTGGATTAAAGGGAATCGGAAGTTCAGTCGATTTGCGAGAGCTGGCCATGCTAACGCTGGGCAAAGGATATGTTCATTCTATAGGAGTCGTATGTGGTGATTAAACATCCGAACTTTCAGGCTTCAGTTGCCTATTTTGATGACTGTGGACTGTATCTATTGGGCTGTTTACCCCGATAGTTTGTGTAACTGATGACATTACATAGCTCTTGCATGACGTAGAGAATATACTGCGATTGAGATTGAAAAGAATAACTAAAAACAAGTATAACTATAACGATGAATACACATTTTTACTTCTTTTTTTACTTATTGGATATAAAGGTGCAGTCAACTTTCAGGAACGGGGCCGATGACATATAAAAGCCGCTAGGGGAATGCAGAAACAGGAAGATGATTGGCAGTGGTGGGATTTGAGCTCAGACTACTATTTTCATTACCAGAACTACTAGACCACTACACTGTTTACCGTATGTTGAACAAAATGTGTCGTGCGCATCCTAGTGAAAATACGATTGGCTTTGTCCTTTTTCATTTATTTCACACTTTTGTGCGCCATTTTCCGAAAGTACGTTTGATCGACAGATAAAGAAAGGAACAAATGAAAGTAAAAAAACTAAAAGTTACGCATGCTGACCGCAAATAAACTGGATGTGCAAGGTGAAGCCGGCACCAATGTTTACAATATTCCCGCACATCAAGCGATGTCTCTAAACCTTGGTGTATTTGGTTACGCAGTCTCCCATTGGAAAGTCTACCATGGACCTGCGAGGTCATTATATTCTTATGCAATGTCATACACTGGTCATCATCAAAATAATGCTTGCCGCGGCTAATATCGTACATCATCGCTTCTATGCTCATTAATCCCTGATGTCAGTGCAAAAGCACGACTTCTTGATGCACTTCACTGGGTGTCCCAAACAGTGGCGTCGTGCATTTACTCATTATTCTTGCAACCCCAGTCTTTATGAGTTCTCCATCTTTCCATAGAATTTGCTCTTAACATTCCAATCATCATTCTGCTCTTTTATCCAAATGGACAGACAAAAGACAGTAACCAAAACCGGCGCACGAAAGTGAATGGTTATTAGCTGTAGAAACCGAAACGGATGCACTTCACCTATCCTCAGCCATGCTCGATTAGTCACAGTTGTCCGTTTAACAATTCTTACGCAAATGCTCAGTTATCAGCCCATTGAGGTAAACCTTTCGTGGACAGAAAAACCAAGGGTGCGAAAAATTGGTATGTAACACAATATGGTTACCAATTGAACAGTGTTGCACGTAGTTAAGAGCACAAAAAACAGCGGGTTCCCCGAAACTCATGTGAATTCAAAGCGGGGAGACTCACTTTTAAAGGAGCAGGTGACATACGACCAGTAGACGGTAGACTATGAGTTTCAGATCTTCCGTTCGTTTGTAACTTGTCTGTGTAGCGATGGTGATTCTCGAAATCGTTCTGTCCATTTCGAAGACCCTGGAGGACAAACACATCACAGCTTCAATACGGTTGTGCCCAAAATATCCCCGAAGCTATCTGAGCAACGATGAGCGGACTGTAGCACATCCCATGGATTAGACCGTAAATGTACACGCGTTCACGATAGCAGTGGTACAAGGGGTTAGGATTAACAAAACGGTGGTCCGAGGGTCGTGTATCGAAACCCCTGACTACTGTCCAATCTCACCATTTCCGTATTATAACTGGCAGTCGTCGATTGGCTACAGTGTCTTTACCGAACAGTGTTTGTATGACTGTTCGTTCAATAGATCAAAACCATTCATCATTGTGATTAGTATGATTATTGGTATGACTGGAATGATCGATGGCAGAGTCACACCAATAGCAATAACAACCTTCTGCTTCTTTTTTGTTTACAAGACAACTGTCCAATTACATTAAGAACAAGAAAATAAAAGACCAGTACAACTAGGTACAAAAATCGTTTGAATGTTTGATTCTAACCGTCCCGCCTGCATGTTCACATCACTCGGCTTTAAAACGTCCGATTATTTTCGAGACATTTAGAGAAAAAATATATATCTCAAATGGGGTTGGGCGGTACACTGCAAGGTTATTCTGGCCACACGACGTACATTTTCTTTGGGAATTCAAAGTGAGCTCTTGCCTAGCGAAAACCTCACTCGCAGGGTGGAGGGGAGGTGTATAAAACCCGTAATCCATTGCGAAAAGGAGCCCAATTCTTCGGATCACATGCCCTTTGGATGGGGTCAAACGTCCAAGATGCCCGAACCACCTCAAAAACCAATCGAGCCGAGCGGTTCACACCCTCCTCTTGGGTGGTTTTGAAACAGAGTTTTTAACCGACGCCCCTAGATGAACTTTCAGTGTTTCAGCGACCCGATTATAGACCCAGATGTTTTTTCATCCACTCACTTTCGTAGAAAAAAATCCGCCATGTGAACAGAGCTTGGTCGAAAAGATGCAATTTACAAGATGCAAGAGAACGGTGATCACCCACAACACAAGACACCCATCCCCAAGTATAATGATGCTTCGACACGTAAACAGTGACTAGGAGTCTCTGTTCAAGCTAACCAGAAAGCATGCGAAGTGTAATAGTGGAAATTATTCGCTATCTCTGAGAAAAAAACAACACTCGAATTACCGCGCGCTGTTCGATTGGCTGCGCTACACTTACATGCTCTCTGTCACATTGTGGGAATTTGCACATTTTCACTCACTATCATGTGTCGTCGTTACTCACAGGATGATATTATTTGTTTCAAACGTGCCAGGACATGCTTCGACGGTTCAGCGGTTTGTGCGACTCCAGTTTCTCAATGTCCAGGCTAGACCAAAAAACGTAAGCGTGCAGGATGGCAAGTGGCTCTTAATTGCACCCCTCTGTCAAAGATGACTGTTCCCTCATCGGTCAGCACTAACACTCGGCCCCTGTTTCCCAAAATGTCGAATTTAAACCAGTGTCCTCCGATCAAAAATCCACACGAACACGTGTGCTGCCTGTGTTCAAGAATCCTGGTTGAATAAGGATGTAGATGACTCTCTAGTGTCAATAGACGGTTTTCAAGTTTACCGATAGGATCGCGGAACGGGGGGAAAAAAGACCGGAGGGGTTGTTGCCACATATGTCAACAGTTCCTGGTGTGGCAAGTCTCATGGTATTTTTCGGTATCGCTCAAAGGGTATTGAGTGCCTAACTATACAGTGTCACCCTAGATTTTCCCGTTTTACACACACAATTTTAACTAACTTGTTTATAGCTCCTTTCTGTACACAGTTCGGTCGTATGTCATTTTTGCGACTTGTCCATACCTTTTATTGCGCCACTTCTAGATATAAACCTGCAAATAATCGTTGGTGACTTTAACCATACTAGTACTTATCCACTTTCATCATTGGGTATGACAGATCTTTGCCACTCTCCCACAGGAGGTAATTCTATATTTGACAGAGTAATTACCAACCACTCAATCCGTTTTTTCTTTAGCACTAAAAGCACCTATTTCCTCCAGTGACCACTGCTCACTCTTAGTTCGACCGAAAGTTTATTCACACAGTGCATACAAATCTTTCTCCCGATCCGATCACATCAGATTTCATTTTCGTAACTTCTCACCTACAAGTGTTTCTCTCCTGAATTAATCTCTCAGACAGGCCTCTTTGTGGTTTGCATCATCTCCTTCTTCGCTATTCACATGTGTCCCCCCATTCACCTAAACAATCAATGCCATTTCCAATTACTGCTACCCTGTTCAAAGCCCATATGTGTCCAACGGAAGGATAAACTCACCCCTACTAAATTCGCTGCGACGACAAAAGGAACGTGCGTGCAAGTCTCACAATGCTTCAGTTGTCAGGTACTTGTCCAGGCTTATCAAGGTGAAGTAAATAGATTGAACGCATTATTCTCTGATCGAATTCTGGGGACTGGAAACAACAAACACCTGTGGCAAGATATGAGACTTCTCTGTGGAAGGAAGAAAGTACGGTCGAAGCTGGATGTGGACGCTGATGAGACCTCAATACCGCAGTCCTGCGCCAGTCATCGGACATTCTTCCTGCCTACTCGTCACAAAATGTTTGTAACGTGGAACCATTCTCATATCGCGATGTGTTAAAACTTTTAAAAAGCTGCAATTCGTCTTCCGCCGCAGGCCCGGATGACTTACATCCAGCCCTCTTCAGATTTGATGCTGCTTCCCTAGCTGGGGCAATTACCTTCATTGTCAATGAATCTCTTAATTATTCGACTATCCCTGACTGTTGGAGGCCGCTCACAATCATACCAATCCCAAAAGCATCTAAATCTTCTATCCTCTCCAAATGTTTTCGCCCCATAGCATTAACATCTTCAGCTCTTAAATTGACTGAAAAGGCCATCCTCAAACACCTTCAGCAGTCCATAAACATTACCAGTGATCCGTTACAGTTTGTCACATTTCATTAAAAATCAATGACCCGAATGAAATCACGTGAACCAAGATTNTTCCGCCGCAGGCCCGGATGACTTACATCCAGCCCTCTTCAGATTTGATGCTGCTTCCCTAGCTGGGGCAATTACCTTCATTGTCAATGAATCTCTTAATTATTCGACTATCCCTGACTGTTGGAGGCCGCTCACAATCATACCAATCCCAAAAGCATCTAAATCTTCCATCCTCTCCAAATGTTTTCGCCCCATAGCATTAACATCTTCAGCTCTTAAATTGACTGAAAAGGCCATCCTCAAACACCTTCAGCAGTCCATAAACATTACCAGTGATCCGTTACAGTTTGCTCACGAGGCTAATAGATCCACCTTGGACGCAGTCTCCACCCTCATTCTTTTTATCACTAAGTCTTTGAACAGTCTGCTTGGAGTTTTTTTTCTGGACTACTCTTTTACATTTGATTCCATTCCTCGGATTTAGTTTTTACAAAAACTGGAATCGTTCGAATGCCCCAAGCAGTTGTTAGCTTGGCAATCCAACTATTTTACTGATAGAGCAGAAACCACTAGATTGAAGAAGGCCACATCGAAACCCTTAGTCAGAAACTCCAGGGTTCTTCAAGGAGCTGTGCTATCCGCATGCTTATTTTCCACTTATATTTGTGATATTCCCTGTGGCTCTCTCACACGAATTTTGAAATATGCAGATGACGTCGTGTTGTGCCAGCCCATTTATCCTTAACCTGATCTAAGCTCTTTTACCGACAATCTTGATCAAATTCAGCCATTCTCTTCCTCATCGGGGATAACCTTGAACCCTAGTAAGTGTGTTGAGTGTTTATATAGTTTTGCTCGCTCCCCATATCCGACAGACCTCACATGGATTAATAACAATCGTTGATCCAGGGTGAACACTGTCAAATATCTTGGTGTAACCATAGATAGCAATCTTCGTTGGTCAACCCACATCCACAGCGGCATTAGTAAACTGCAGCGCCTATAATTTCAAATACGAAAGCTCAGACAGTTTCGCGCATCCCAGTGAGTTATTTCTGCTTTGTTTATCAGTGTGCTTTTCCCATCTTAGTCTACTGTTCCCCAGTTATTTTTCCTGGCTTACTCAAACAGGATTTCAAAGTTTTACGCCAAGGTCTAACCATTATCAGTTGTGTCTCTTCTATTCCTGTGAATGAGTTAGCTATAAAGCTTTCAGAGTGTCACGTAACTTCCTGTGTAACATTTGCTGAAAGGATTCTCGCAGGCCGTGAACATCCATTGCACGCAGACCTGACACGATGCCGTCCCCATCACTCAACATGTTCCCAATTCCACCAAATTTTATCTCGAATAAATGCTTACCGCAATTTACCTATCTACTCATAAACAAAGAGCGGACAGTAATTGAACTTTGTCTTAACCTTGGATTATGAAATGTCCCCATGTCTATAAAAACCTTTCTCCCCGTTGATTACGTACATTGTGACGGCTAGCGTGTATGACTTTTTGAAACTGAAATGAGCTCCAGTGCTTGCAAAAGTTATACACAATACAAGTACGCGGTTCGACTAAAGGGAGTAATAGCCAATTATTCGAATCTTTGGCGGCCCCAAAGCGAATGTAAAAAACTTAAAAAGTGCCTACTAGTAGATGCGATTCTGTTGGGGTGGAACCAAGCAGATTGCGCTCAACTGAACCGCTATCCAAACACCGTGGAGACGCAGCCGATGAGACACCACTGGATGATGCGATAGAACCAGCAGAACCTGCTTGAGGATCCCAAGGCAATCGATTGTTAGAACCAGCGCTGGGTCGACGTCGTAGACCTAGAAAGCGATAAATAAGGCAAAAAATAGACCGTAATAACACTGGCTACGAAAATTTAAAAGTTGATTTGTAAAAACGTTTTCAGTCCATTGCATATAAACTTTTCGCTTTCGGTCAAAGAAATAAGAGTGACGTCCCGGAACCGCATCTGGCTATATGAACGGGGAAATCGAACCACATCTACTTAGTAATGATCATCATTCCACCTCGCTTTACTTTGGATAAGCAGTAACATTCAATCTATTTTCAACTAAGGAACTATAAGCACCCAGAGACACTATCAGGGGGTGTGTGAAGAGGCAAATAAGTAAAGTGGTCGGAGAAAAACTTGAATGGGTCAAACAACGAACTAGAGTAAAACATTTTAGAATATTTATGAATTCTAAATAAAAATGAAGTACAATCAGACGAAGTAAATGCAACTCAGGATTGTAAAAGCTACATTTCATTATTATCAGCACATTACAGGTAGGAGAGAATAAGGGGGAAAGTATGTTCAATTTTAGATAACAAAACAGCACTCTGTGCAAAAAAAATAGCAACGAGATTTTAGTGGAGTAAAGAATGTTTACGGAACAGTGATCTGAAACAAATTTATCAACAAAAGGTATCCTTTGACCACGAAGTTGAGAGAATGAGTGCTATACAGATGTCCAAAGCTAGATGTCAAAGAACAAACCCATCCAGAAGATCACATTGTCTGTAGTTTAAACAACTAAGCTAAAGGAGGGAGCAGCGAGGGGAACACTAAGCTGCCGACAGTAATAAATGAAACAAAATCATGGAGAATGCGTGAAACTGCGGGTTCTTTAGCACCTGAACTTATCAATATTGACACTGTCCGACTGTCGAACTTTGGCAGTTTGATGCGCACAGTTCAGTGTCACAATGTTAGGCACAAATCATTGAAATATACATGGATAATAAGAATGGTATGAACATCAAGTTGCATTTGGAAAAATTAGGATTTAAGAATTGCGCAAAAGCCATAGTAATCACCTTGTATGTTCTACTAACCACTAGATAGGGACGGACAGAGTACCGACACGGTCCACGATATAAACTAAGAGTATGTAAAGTTCGTGTGATGATTATGGCTGTTACGGATTGTCGCTACCGCAGTTAGAGACCTCAGCGATTGACCTGCGGTTTCAATGAAAACAGACGCGTGTGAAAACAACTTCGTCCAAGGAAGACAGTATTTAGATCTCGAAGGTTCACCTACAGAAGGCATTTTGCCAGGAAAACTATACGATAAAATCCGTTTGGCGAACAATCCCTTCGCATGTGCATGCCGAGGACAAAATATACATATTATCACGAAAAAGGAAACAAATTACGATTCACTCTTGTTTCCATTGTCCAGTTAAAAATGTTCTTGTTACATCATAAATTATGATATCACCTATTGGAAGAACTCCAATTTTTACATTTTTGCTGAGTATTTTTTACACTGAACAGTGCACCATAGAAACCATTTTGCTTTCTCCTAAAAAGCAAACAACCAAAGCTAACTTCGCTAAAGCAACTTTCAGAAAAGTATGTTACTAATAGCACACTATAAAATGAGACGTTGAATTTTCGCAAGCGGCAGGTCTACAAAGAAAGGTTTTGCTGTAACTGATGTGATAAATGTAACATGAAGATGTATATTACCTTTTGAAGCTGAGTTCGGATGCAAAGCGGAATTGCTCATAAAGTACGCACGTTTCCGATGAGAAACATTGCCTGCATCCTCCAGGTCGGTGAGCGCAACAACCTCACTTGACGCCTCCAAAGGGCCAGCCGATCGAAACACATGACCGTTTCGATGATGCCCCACAGATGGGGCTGTGATTCCAATAGAGAATCCACGCACAACACGACACTGGCTGTCTAACTGTGGAAGCTGACGTCGAGCTAGACGCCGCTGAACCGCCTCGAGAATGGAATTGTTTGCACAAGCGATGGAGTCACTATGATTGGAGTTATTCAGATCCGATCCCGCATGCGGAACAACTGAAAGCAGAGGCCCAAGATTTCCAGCACCGAGGAGATGAGCAACAACAGCGACGCAGTCAAGGGTGGCTACACGAACCTGGAGAAGGAGTGACAAACGCTAGTATGGGAATTATGCATCACCCTGATATAACGGCTCTTGGTATAAAACGAATAAGTGGTGATTACGGAATTCGACTAACTGTAGCTAAATGAAATGTATCGATCAATGGACGAAACAGAAAACAATCATGCATACCGCAAATCTGGGCTGAATTGAATTATTAAAAGCTACTGAATCCACTTATTGGAGAGAGCGGAGTACACGCGATGATTATTCAAAATTCTCTAACAATTGGTATGAAAATTTGCTAGTGTTTATTAGACAATTGCATTGGAAATCAAAATT